TTACAAACAAATAATCAGGATAGATGTAAATAAGCCTATACAATTATATAACAGTGCCTGAATAAGATTTCAACGAAAATTTAATTTGTATGATAAAAAGTGTCTCAATTGTTTCTACATAATGTATGCATATTCAAGGACGAATTCAATATACAACAATTAGTAAGCTAAAAGCGTGAACGGATTTATTGTACAACTGAATATGTGTTTGTGGTCCATGGTCAACAAATTACACGTTATACTGACTAGACGAGCTGTAAAGAACGTATGTTTATACCATGTTTATACAAACAAAGTACAGCCTAGAACTAGCACAAGGATTGAACCTCGTTTTGCATACAAATATATCAAACGATCTTAGAGAATTATCTTTTCGAATTCTAAATTGTGTCACAGCCCATTAAATTTCGAAATAGCATTACCCTACTGAGCGGATTAAACAGTAAACGTTTAACTTAAAAAATTGCTAGGCCGGGACAGAATGTTAGGTTACATACGTGGAAATTTAGCCACATTGACGCAACCGCAAGCAACGTTACCAGTCGTAGAGTTGCTTAGGTGTTCGTAAAGCGAGCCTTCTCTAGTGTGAACCCGACTTAAATATGATTAAATTCACCGAAGTCAATAAACAAAAAATATGCACATGGAGGAGAATAACAAAATACAATTGTTTGGAAAAAATAATTGGGTATATGTTGCTGTGGCGCGTATCCGTTTCTATAAAAAGGCTCGCATTATAGCACGCTTCAAACGCCAACGCAATTAGTATTGACGCAAATGAAAGCCATGAAAAAAAGCTGTTCAACTATTGTCTTAACCTCCCCCCCCCCAAAAAAAACCCGTCTCCACACGTTCTAAACTGCGTAGAGGATTACGCACTTTGTATTGACAAAATGCGCTAACGAATGCTAGTGGCTTGTGCCTACAAATCACAGGGAAAAATTAATGAGAATGTTTATATGTATTTTGAAAATCTATAGTAGTATTACGCCTACGTTAAGAATATAATTTCCTACAGCATGTTCATATCACATGGCATCACTATAATTCTTGTGGACCGGACGTTCGGTTGTTATGTTGGTAATGAGCGCGGTAGACTTGCGCGTAAATGACCAATTAGTTTTGTGATACTGTTTGATTGAGCGGGATATAATTTGGGAAACGGAGATGTTGCTAACGGAATGCGTCAGTTTAAAGTCTTGCATTGACGTTTTGGGGTCAAGACAAATTGGCATTATAATGTTTTTTGGGTTCTAATTGAAGATAGAGTCGTCATCCAATATGGCTCAACCATACTTATTGCAGACGGAGGGTTTGAGTGTAGCGTGTTAGTGTGTGTTTGTGTTATTATTTTAATTTTTTTGCTTATACCTTGAATAGGAACTTAGTTCCTCACTGGCGTTGCCCTTCTTCTATGTTTGAGAAAATAAAATATTAATATACTCTCCTTTTACAACCTATTTTTCAACAGACTTTCAAGTTCAAATCATTACCTACATCATTATGTACATACCTCCGGACAGTAGTTTTGTGTTTGGTCTGGTGTGATGACCATGTTACTCATGATGAAGAAAGCATCAGTTTGCTGCTGGAACAAGAATGCATAAAGAACATAAGACGTTTACTAAGTACAAGTGCCACCCGTTTTTGTTAGTTGCTTTCGAGACGACGACAGCAAGCGTAGTATACAAGTGCAATTAATAAGGAGGAAAAACGAACACGTTACTTTTTTTTTGTCGGTAGCCTACTGATGCTTGTCATCCTCAAGATCGAATGATATAATTTGGAGTTGATTTAAGAATGGTTTTCTACAGATTTACTAAGTAAAATAGCATTTGCATCGTACAATATTGTCAGTTTTATGATGAGAATTGCATCTTGATGAAAGCCTATGAAATGAATTAAGAGAGCTACAATTAGATAATCCGTAAGAGATTTTACCAGAACCTTGGGTACATTAACCGACGAAGATTGGCGTTATACATTGAAAGATGAAGAAAAATGGCAAATACTTGTTAGCCTATCTATTTTTTTAAAATTAGAATACACTATAAATAGTAATTTATATATTATATACATAATTATATATATTATATATACATGATTATATATATTGTATATATATATATATATATATATATATGTATATATATATATATAATATTTGATCTTAAAGGCGTATCTCTCTGTTTATTCTATTTTTTTTTCTCTGTTAAGACCCTGGTTGTTCCGTTATTCCCCAATGTTCCATCCAAGATACAACCAAATTGGTGACGTATCTAAGATGAAAATATTTTACTCTCGTTCTCCAAATTGATATATTATTACTAGCAGCACTAGGGAAAGAGTTCTTTAGTGGGAACACAGTAGGTAAATACACACAGATCCCCAGCGTACAGAGACTCTGTTATCACGTGGTCTTGGTGTTAGATTTGCTTCAACAATACTATTATTTAAACAATAATTACAATCGAATTTAACCAAACAGATTTTAGGGGTCTAAATTCGGAGGGGTCTAATTTCTAAGATAATACCAGTTAACAACCTCTTGTGTTGAAACATTTATTATTGGGTTTATTATTATGTTTAAATTCAAAAGACCCAATGAGGGTTGTTCAAAGAGGTACTGCGACTCCCTGCGTTAATTCGCCTGTTATTGTTCCGTCCCAAAGTCTTAAACAATTGGTGGCGTATCTTAGCTGGGAAATATTTCTTTTCATTGTACGTTTAGGCCAAGGGACTAGTCGATATAAAATACCAACAGAGATTGCAGATGCAAACAGTTTTCTTTAATACCATAAGAAAGTGCAATTACGATAATTATTGCTTAGGCTACTGACAAAAACTCGTGTTCTGCATACTGTGACTAAAAGAATAATAATTATAATAAAAATATTATAATCATAATCGATGGAATAAATACGTGCAAATATTGTTTACTTCTTCAACTTTCAGTAATCTTTGAAGTTACCGCTGCAAGTTGATGTGATCTTTAGAAACGATAAACTTTGTACATAAAGATATATACCGTGCCGATACAAACAATTAAACCTTAAAAGTGTATTCATGGTTATTTGTTTTCATTCCCTACGACAAAACCGTGTCCAACAAACTAAACGGAAACAAAATTTTAATATTTACAATATTTACAATATAATTGCTGGTATGTTTAGCTGCATTCTTGACGTGGTGCCTAGGAGTTATAAATATTGGCGACACTCTTAAAAAATATATAAATATATAATATAAATAACGAGTTAAAAATATATAACCTTAGCAGTGTATTATAATTGAAGTGTGTTTCTCATGCAAAACAGGTGGCAATCTTTGAACAATTAATAAGTAACAAACCGATCGGCATATTCAAAAAAGTTAAACCTGCTTAGCGAAAATCTTTTACTGAAATCAAAGTAGACCAACGTTAATCAAAGTCTATAGAAATGGATTGTCATAATAAGAAGACAGTTTGTCTACCAGTTTAACATACAAATGTGTTTTTAATCATGAATAGTACCTCACTTTAGGACAATAATCTATCAATACATCGTATGAATGCTTTAACTTAACAATTATAGATCATCACAGAGTATTACTCGCCTATTCGACTGAGATTATACTTAACTTTGTCTCTTTTATTTAAATTCAAAGAGGATTTTTGATAAATAAACCAATGATGTTCCTAGTTCCGTGATTTTTTTCACTCCTTGATTATTACAATTGAACTAATGTTACGCGATTACGATAAGTTTACAAGTAAATAATGTAAATAAACTGTGTAAGCGTACACAAAACATTTCAAAACCTGGCGCCAGCCTTTTCGCATCACTATCTAAAAGCTGGAGTGATATTTCTCGAAGCATACTACAATCTTATGAAAATAAAGTAATGAATTGTGCGTGATAAGAGAATACTGGTGAAAGTGCGGCTACGTGAATAACGTTTTAAGACGTCAAGCCTAGATGATAGCAAGTGCCTGTAGGGGTTTTTTATCGCTTACTATTAATCATCTTTAATGCGTTTTCTCATGTTTTAACGCTGTTTAAAAACCAAGGCGTTAGTAGAATTTAAATGAATTTAAATGTCCAAAGGATATAACAGTTGTAAATTTATGTGGTGTGTTATTTCAATATGCAATTATTCCATTTCCTTACACAACTTGCATTTAATATTCCAATATGTGTAAGCTTTAAAAAAAAATCGTGTCACAACAATGCCTATTATTTCCTTGTATGACAACAGCTTTGGAATGTGATCTTGATATCACCGGAAAGGTAACTGAATGGCTTTGGAAACATTCAGATAGGTTTATAGAATACATCCTATAGAAAATTGTGTTGATCATTTTAAAAGATTCATACATGCAAATTATGAATATTATTATCAACAATGAACAATAGAAAGCCGGGATTACCTGTGGAGGTATAACGTAATCAGAAACGTCCCATACTCGATTGTAGGGGTCCGTTTTTTCTACTGGTATGGCTAGATCTGGAGCATTTGTGATATTTGTAAAAGACGTTCCTTTAACCTTGGCCGTAGCTGTCCCCTCTACCATTTCAATGTCTTGATATCCGTGGTTCCAAACAATCACATAACTGGGGGGAAATGAAAAGCCATTTTTATAATACACTCAGATTGAATGTTCGGTTTGCTAATTTTATTATGTTCATAACAGCTTATCAAAATAGCGGAGTTGGTTAAAACTGCTGTAGCGATGAATTACGGTACAGTAGGCCTACATTGAACGACAGATATCTGTGTACGTTTTGTTGTAATCCAAACTGCTTTAAGTGTGAAATAATAAGCTCAAAGTTTTTTGGAAGTGACGTCTAAAGTGTTTGTCCAATGGACAACATGACCCGTGTGTGCGTTAAAAAAAAGAAGTCGGAATAACTCTCTTGGGATTTTCTGCGGTGTAGCCTAAATATTCATCGTACCAAAAGTGGTGTACTGCACTGCAGATGCCGCACCGGGTCACTAGGATCCTACCCAGAAATTTACTTAACTAGAGCAAAATAGTTACCTTTTCTTTACATACTTTACATTTTAGTTATCAAAATGAAATAAAGAAAAATACAAAGAAGACCTACTTCGGTGGAAATTGTCACATTATCGACAAAAGTAATAAATTAAACAAACCTTACTTTTTTAAAGAGTTTATATTTTGTATTATAATTTATTATTTATACAACATATAAACTTGATATGCTTAGGTGATAGTTTCAGCTATAGCTTGAATTAAAAATAATCGTTAAAGCATCTGGATGTACTGCGGTACGTAGAACTCTCAATTTCAAATCCCGAAGGGGAAAATGTAATTTTTCGTGTTTTTATATCCATAACATAATTAAGAATTATGTTTTTCGGTTATAGGTTAAAATTTAATGTAAATTATTAAGCAATTATATATTTCCAAGTTAATCATATTTGATGGGAATTTAAAGATGTATTCACCTAGGCCTGTACCCAATATACGTTAGGCCAACTTAACTGTATTTATTTCCAGTATTGCGCCATAATTTGCCTGATAAGGGATTATGGTCATGATACGTTTGGAGAAGGATATGGTGATGTTCCCGATGGCAATGTGATCGAACTGTTAATAATGATGATATTATCATCATTTTCTTTTTTTTTCTAAACATATTACCAATAAAATATACTTGTAGTTATACCAAATTA